TCCTATAATGATATTTTGGACTAGCTGAATTCTAGGTGTACTTTTATACAACATGATGATGTGGAAGCCCACATGCTGAGTATCTAAAATATATGCATTTCTTTGGAGAAATTCCAGATCATTGTTCTATAAGTTGTTCTTCATGAAAAGCTGTACTATTGTAAATACATTGCCAGTTTTAAAATGCAGTTATTGAAACATGGACTTGCAGTGATATATGATGAGAAAGATTATGGCAGGTCTTTTTTCTCTTTGATTTCTCATGTTTTCTGTTAATCCCTTTTTACAAAGCTAACAACTTTCATGTGTGTAAATTAACAGCATCACAATACATATAATGCCAGTTTTAGGCAGCTGAGAAATCATCAGCTCTTAAATAAAGATGAAACTAGTTAGTATTAAGTTATTTGTGATTATCCTTTGGTTTCCTGACCCACAACTATGGTTGCAGGACAAGGACAGGTCCAGCCTTCCGTTGTTTTTCAGCTTTGCTTTCCTGGCCCTGCAGGATGTTGCTGCTGTTATCAGGCAGGCAGCATCCTGTTGGTGAACTTCTTTGCTTTGCATCCCACCACTATTAAAAAGCAAATATCCTTGGTCATGACAATAAACACTGGCTTTTGGGTTTTGTGTTTTTGGTTGTTGGTTTTGGGGTTTTTTTTCTAATCAGTTGAGTGGTATATTTTGTTTTTCATGGAATCGTAGAGTAGTTTGGGTGGAAAGGGACCTTTAAAAATCACCTAGTCCAACACCTCCTTCAGCTAGATCAGGTTGCTCAGAGCCCCACCCAACCTGACCTTAAATGTTTCCAGGGATGGGGCATCTACTGTCTCTCTGGGAAACCTTTCCAGCATTTCACTACCTTCATTGTAAAAAATGTCTTCCTTATATCTAGTCTAAATCTACTCTCTTTTAGTTTAAAACCATTACCATTTATCCTATCACAACAGGCCCTACTAAAAAGTTTGTCCCCTTTGTTATGTTCTCATTACCTATCTCAATAAATGAGCATGTTATTTTTGCAAAAGGCTCTCCAGGCAATGCTTCATGTAAAACAGAATGTACTGTCTATTTGGGTTTATTACTTGTTACAGCACAAATATCCTGACTGACCTTTATCTAGATATTGTAGGAGGGATTTTCCATGTTTTGTCCTCAGATTGTTTCCCCAAAACTTGGCTGAAGTATCCTCTCTGACTGCTGAAGGTGAGACTCAAGGGCTCTTCCTCCTCGCCTTGCTGCAGTTTCCCTCCAAAGGAAATGCAAGCACTCAGGCAGGGTGCCCGGCAGACACACCCGGTCCTGGTGATGCCACACGAGGCCCGTGCACATACAGGGGGATCATACTGAGCACCAGTATACACTTACCGGTAGGATCTGTCTGCATTTTAGGGGCTGGTGGTACCCTTATGTCTTGTGCCTCAACTTACCCTTCTGCAAAATGGGGGAAATAAGAATACCATGCTTTGTATATAGTGGTGTTTAAAAACTTTGAAGTGTGTGATCTTCTTGATTATTGGGGTAGTCTATTCAGTGCTATTTTTTGGTCATATGTTCTGCTATGTGTGAGTTTCACATAGAATATTACGGTAGTTGTTAAGCAAACATGAGCTTATTGTTTTAACATACAATTCATATTTGCTGTTAGTTTACTTCTGCAACAGAATTCTTACCTATGCTTTCCAATAATGATTCAAAATGCAGCCGTCATGAAGTTTAATACATTCTATTCTAAGATAGATCTCAAATTTACAAAATGATTGAAAACTGAACTTGTGAAGGAAAATATATATACAATTCCAGAAGGGCTTTGTGAATTGGAAATCAAACTTGTGACTAAAACAGGAAAAATGATTGCTTCCGTTTTTTCCTCAAAGCAATATTTTAGGTCAATTTTAATATGGCTTTTACAAGTTTTGCATTAAATGAGTGCCTTTTAATTGTATGCCCATTAAATATTTCAAAATTAAGAACAAAATTTTTCCAAATCAAAAGTAAACACTATTCCAAAAGTGTATCAATATGATACACTTTTTGATAGCATCAGAATTTTTTTCAGTTCAGAAAAAATATCAGAAAAAGCAATAAAAAAACATACATCAATGAGTAAAAGATAGGCACTGTAAAAGGCTTATATAAAATGTAATGGATTCTCTACCATAGTAAGGCAGTTCGATTTTGAAACTTTCAGTGTATGATTTTATTAGGGCAACCTAAACAACTTAGTAACAGACCTATTTTTTTCCACTCCAGAAAACACATTGGTAAAATATAAATGGTATACACAGAGGGCACAATAGGTTCTTCAGACTACAATGAAATAGCTCAATAACAGCATGCATTCTTATTTCAAATATGAATCTGCCACTTATTTTGTCATCAATAATTTTAGCAACAACTTTGATGTTATCTCAGACATCTTCCTTCAAACCCCAATGTTTCTGGAAGCACTTGTGTTCACAAGAGATCACTGATCTTTTTAGCCTCTGTAGGTCTTTATGTTCTGAACCATGAGAAATATTCTAGAATGAACATTTTTGTGCAGTGCTATCTAAAGAGGGTTACACCTTGGTTTTATTATTATGAACAATGTTTGCTCATGACTATCATATACCATTTTGAGAATTGAATCACAGCTGTGTTTAAATTATCAGTGGATCATGTAATCATAGAGTCACAGAATAGAATCATAGAATGGTTTGGGTTGGAAGGGACACTCATCTAGTTCCAACCCCCCTGCCATGGGCAGGGATATCTTCCACTAGTCAGGTTGCTCAAACTCCCATCCAACCTGGCCTTAAAGTCATCTATAAAAAAGTCATCTAGAATTTCTGCAAGTATTTTAAGCCAGCCTATAATTTATCATATTTTCTCCCTCTTCCAAATGAATTAAATAGTAATATCATCTGTTTTATTACAATTCTTACAGTAATCTGAATCACGTGGTCATCCTAATGTCATAGAGTAACTAGATATAGGCAACAAAAGTATTTCTTTTGTAATGGAATTGTTTTACAAAACAATGTATATGCTTAATGTATTTATGAACTAAGAAATAAAATTGAAAAAATTGATAAATTGACTTTCTAATGTTCTCTTGTGTTTCTGCCACTGGATTGATACACAACAGTTTGTTGAACTCACCATAGGCCTGCTAATGCCTACATCTCACTGGGCTTCATGAAATAAGCATTCATATAACAAATAAATATAAATACAAATTTAACAGTTTTTTTAAAAACATATCTTTAACTGTGATGGTGCAGAAGAATGGAGTAGCCTACCCAACTGTATTCCTAGCATGGGTCACTAGCTAAATGCTAGCATTTTAAACAAATAATTCAGATGTGCCTGGGGGCAACACTGTCAAGGATACCACCACTGACCTTTGGAAAGTATTTAAGAGTAATGGGTGATTTCAGTAAGACAGCTATGTGTGAATATATTTGTGATTACTTTTATCCTGATGGACAATTAGACTTTGTTATACCTTGTATTAGTGAGCATCCTGGAATGTTTGTGAGATGTAGCGATTATCCCATGGCTAACGTTAGGTTATCTGAAATCTGTCCCTGTCTGTCTTCACAAAAATTTAGTATTTTTCAAAACAAAGCCAATCACCTGATTATCACATTTAAAATGAATTTCAACAGTACAGAGAAAGGAAGACAATACCATTTTACACTTTTACACCAGAAAAAACATGTCTAGCTTCAAGAAAATGGGGCATCACAGATATTTTTATAATTCCTTTTAATTTTATTTTTACATTCATGAATTAAAAATAACCAGAAATTGTTCACAGTACACATATAAATTCATCTCAAAGTAAGGAGAAATACTGTATTGATGTTAAATCTGATTTTACAAATTAAGGACTGCTATGACAATTTCTCATCCAAAATTAGTTATCACAGCTTTTATATTTTTTTTTATATACTTTGATAATATGCTTTTGAATATTAAACTGAAAACTTTCCCATAATGAAAGCAGGTATTTTTTACAAACCTATAAACCAGATACATAAACTGAAATTGCATGTATGGATTTCTTTCTCCATAATGCCTTCCCCATAATTTTTACCCGTATAGTTTGATGGGTCATTCGAAGTGTACATTAGAAATTTAATTAGGGATCAGTGAGAAAATTGTCAGATAATTATTCCCTGAAATCTTGAAATTTTCCTTACAGCTGGTTGTGTTACATGCGGTTCATTGCTTTTCAGCACCATTTTCAGAACTAAAGTTTTGCTTTTATTTATTAATAAAATAAAAGTTTTCAGAAACAATTCAGAGGGCAAAACACTGAATAAGGGTAAGACCTGTAAATTGAAGAGCATAGTAACAGAGTTTTGGTATCTGCAAAATTTTTTTTTTGCACTGATGCAATTCCATAGGTCTGTTTGATTTCAGAATTATTTGATTTCAGAGTTTTGAAGCTTTGAGACATCTGGAAGTTTTGTTTCATAGAATATGAGAGAAATTATGATATCTCAGTTCATCTTTTGCTTTATTGGGTTTTTTTGTTATTCTACTGTTCAAGTTTGCAGTAGAACTGGGAAAAAAAATACCCTTTTCTGCTGTGTTGTTTTGTTAGTCTTTATGGAACAGGCTCATATGTTATCTTTTTCTTTTTTTTTTTTTTTTTTCCAATTGGCAAGAAATTGCAATTTAAACTGAGTAAACCCCAGAAAGCACTGACTGAATTGGCATTTAAAGATCTCAGAGTTTACGTATATTCTAAATTCTTGTGTTGACTTCTACACATAACACTGAAATGTTTTTCATAGTTACTTTAAATTCTGATATGCAATTGTGAAATAGTTATTCTGTAAATTAATTTAACAGTATTTTATAATACAAGATACCTACCAGGTTTGAAGAAAGTATTTTATAAAACCCTCATTATTTCAATATGTTTTGGATATTCCATGCATGCTGATGATTACTTTTATTCTTACAAAATATTTTAGATGAAACATTCACTTCCTTGATTTCAGGAGCTGATGCTGTGGAGGCCCAGTGTAAGAGATTTGAAGTGAGGGCAAGTGGAGGTGGAAAAGTATTGTTTTCTGCAGATGAAGATGAGATTGTCATTGGAGCTGACAGACTAAAAGTAACAGGTACAGTAATAAGGTTTCTAACAGGATGTAAACTTTAAAAAAAAAAAAAATACCCTTAGTAATAATTAATCTATAAGTCTTCTGCAACTTTTTCATTCACTAGAGAGGAAAAAGTCTTCTCATCATCAGTGATTGCTTGACCAACCAAAAGATACTGCTTCATCTAAAAATCAATTCCTCTAAAGGCAGATTTGAATTTAAACTCTGCAAGACCAACTATGTACGGTTCAAGTCACCCTTACAACAGTGATTGTCTTTTATATGTTACTGTTAAGCACTGTTTCATGGTACCTGTGCCACTTGTTTAGTAATGCCCCTTCACAATGATAAAAGCTATTGTTATATACTATGGCCTTAGTTTTTTTCTGCATACAAAGTATCAAGTCTGACTTCCATGTGAATTAAGGGTAGGTATTCTGCTTTACTTTAGGAGGCTCATTTGAAGTGTAGTAAGTAGAAAAAGGTTACTTTAGTTTAGATAAATGCTTTAACTTTGGCTACTTAATAAAATCTTGCCTGAATTTAGGCTGGACTTGAGCTGTCCACTCATAATCTAGAATAAGATACAAAACTTGAATTTCTTAACCAGTTGGGGTGTTTAGCTTTAGGTCAGTCTGTAAGAAATTTAATCATAAGTTGTAGATGTCATGTTATTTTTTTTTATTACTTCAAAGCAAAGCAGTGCTCAACTGTCTTTAACTTCAAAGTCGCTTTTGTTCCCACAGCAACTGTTGACTGTCAGTGGTATAGAAAGCAGAACAACTAATGAAAATTTATTCAGTGATGCTTAGCATTGTATATATGATTGCTCCTTGTGAAAAGAACAGGATTTTCTCCTTAATTCTAGAAATACACCTGACTGTATTTGTATTTATATTAAGCAACCCTGACCAAGTTAAAAAAAAACAAAAAAAAAAAACAAAACAAAAAAAAAAAACTAAAGGCTATGAAAACCCAAGTTAATGCTGCTTTGATATAATCATCTAAATTCTGGGGATTACTCTATACCTGTTGAGTCCTACCAGAGTATTTCACTACTAGAGTTGTTTGTACAAGTAATTGATTTCCCTTCTGTGGCTAAAATGAAAAATAAACAAGAGTTAGGATTGAGTTTTCAAATAAATTTTTTCATTGAACTCAAAAAAATATTTTCAGGTTAAAACAAGATAAACATTGACTTTAATTCCTTGCGCGCACACACACACACACACAAAGAGAAAGATGTAGGCATCATTTAAATATCTCAAAGAAAATAGGCATGGAAGATTTATCAGGTTCTGAATGTTGTCATTTAGGTCATGAAGTTAATTACAAATTTTGTTCCATTAAATAGCCTAGTGTCCAACGCTTTGGGAAGTTTCTTTAGAAAATTATGTTAAGGTGCTTTGTAATTGTAATTGGAAAGAGTAATTTACTTTTAAAAATCACTTGAAAATTGTCTTCTTTTGTGTTTATTCAAAAGTAATTTAATGAAGTTGGGATCATTCTTTCTAATCTCTGGATAATCATTGTGTCTTGAAATCAGATTTCATTAGTAAACTATCTTATAATGAGGCTATAAAAAACTAATTTCAAAATTTTATGCTTTAAATCCCTAGGCCCCCCTTTAGATTAACTCTTCCATCATCATGTTAGAGAAGAAGAATATTATCCCACAGAATGAATGGAAGAGTATTAGATTTCTAAATGAATGACCATTTCTGAAAGGCTTAGGCAGAATAACCTCATATCCCAATTTCTGTAATCCTAACCTTTGCAGCACAGGTACTAATCTGCAGCCAAATAATAAAGCTATAATGAGACATCTATGCTGTTGACTTCAGTCTAAAGCTGAAATTATTTAACATAGATTTCCCAATGGAAACTAAAAGTTGTATTATCCATGCAATCTCAAGAAAAGTATTTTAAAATTAAAAAAAAATAACCCAAAGGGTAAAAAAAGTAATTCTGTCTTCATGGAAAGATAAAATAGCAAAATCTTTCTTTCATATAGAAGCTCTTTGAATTCTGTCAAAGATTGGGTGATAACTTTAAACTCTTCAGCAAACACATGAAAGGTGATGAGTCCCCGTGAGTTGCATCAATCAGACTGCATTACCCAATATGACATGATATGACTGATGAAACCTGGCAAGGCATCATGATGTCAAGCATCAACCAGAAATTTTTTTTAGTGTGTTTTTCTCAAGGCTGTGTTTTGATAATCATGGTGCCTTGGGGTGAATATAGGAAAGAAGTTATGGAAGAACAGAGAAAACAGAAAATTAGTATCAAAAAGCAAAAATAAACTGTGCTTATTTGGAGATTAAACTCTCAAATGTAGTCTTTAAGTGTAGTACTACAATGAAAACCTGATTTTCTTTTCTTGCTTAGCTATGAATAGTGTCACTCTGGAAACATTTCACTATGAATGGGTCCAATAAATGATGCATTTTGTTAATTTAATTAATTTTCTAAAGCGTGCCCATTTCATGGGCATTTATAAACCACTATGATAATGTGGGATTTCTTTTATATTATTTTTTCTCCATTCAGAAGAATACTTTCCTAATGAACAGCTTAAAAAAGCTATCTATCATAAAGCAGTATAAGAAATTCTTGATCAGTAAAACTTGAAAGATTAAGTTTACAACTTCCTGTTGATTTTTTTAGTAGCATTTTTATTTGTAATTTTTTATGTAGGCAACCTATTCCAGGGAGAAAAGTATAGTAGAAACAGGCTAGTAATGCAGATATCAATGTATTTTCCAGATAAGAAAAACATGGAGTCAGAAGTAGTATATTTTGTTTTAGAGATATTGCAGCTATATATTTTCTTATTAAGAGTCTCCAACTTTAAATTTAGGCAGTTAGCTGATTTAATTTAGACTTCTTCTTTCTATCATTACTGTTGCTTTTCCATTTAACTATGTTAGCTCTTTTCTACTTTATCATAGAAAGAAAGAAGAAAAAAAGATTCAACCTTTGATTTGTTAGACAGAGCTCTTAGAAATGCAGCTGCCTATTGCCCTCTGTGCAGGGAAGCTTCCTACCACCAAGTTAACATGTATCATAGACCTTTGTAGGAAGGGAAGAGAAAGGCATGATGAAGTAAACATACTGCCAAAATTCTGGGAAACAAGTAAGAATAAAGAACTGAGTTTCTGGTTGGCTCACAGATTCCTTTCCGCACATGGTTAAACCATTCTCCATCCCTTATATTCACCCTATCCCAATGAATAGACAGCACCTATAGTATTGTGGAGTCTTCTTCACTTCCTCTGCAGTTACAGAGCAAGAATATCTGTTTGACTTTTACTTCTGTTATTTAAATCTCAATACAAAGTTTTATGCCCTATGTTTTTATTTCATATTTCTTTTAATTGCAATACAATCTCTCTAAGGTATTCTTGTAGCAGAACTTGAAAACACTGTATTGGTCACACTGGGTAAGAGCACAAGCTCAAGCTTTATCCTGACAGAGTACTTTTGAGAAAACAGATTAATAAGGCCTAGCTCAATATACATTTTTCTGAGACACTGCTATGAAAGAAGATTGTAATTCTTTCTATAAAAACATTCACTGCACATCTCTGTTAGTACAGTTTGTCTTCCTCTTTTTTCTTGAACAAAACTTGTAGTTACCAGTTGTATAAGACATACTAAGCAAAGTGGAGGTTGTCTAGTTATATTCTAAGCAAAACACCTTTTTTGGACAATGTAACATTTTTTTTTCTCTTCTGACTTTTGAAGTGATTTGCTCACCAAGCTAAAAAGGCATTATCAGAAACACTTTTTTTTTTTTTTTCCATTAAACTCACAATGTTTTACCAAATTATACAAACATTTTGCTTTTTTTGAAAAGATTATTTCTGTATATGACTTTTGAAGAATAGACTGCAATTTAATTCTTATATCGTCTCCTAAATATTCTTCTGATCTATATTCTTCATTCAGATTTGGCTATAGTGTTCTTTATTTAACCATGTTTTTATCTCTGACCTTTCTTCCAAGACCCATAAAAACAATAGCATAACTTGATTTGTTACAGGGTTAGATACCTTCTTCTATATCAGTTGTACTTGCATAGATGGCTTTTTTATTAACATATTTTTTAAAAAGGCAAGGGAAAAATGGATTTGCAAATTCAACCACACAGGTCTTACATCAAAAGCCATTGCTGTTCTGCAGTCCAATCCAATTATGTTTTCTAGATGCAACAAATAAGCTGCATCACTCTTGCTAAATAACCCAGTCTAGATTGTTTGGAAAATAATACTCACCTTTATGAAGAACTAATTTTTATTTTTTTTTCCTAACACTTTCTTAACTGCTGGCTTATTTTCTTTCATACATTATTGCTGCATGTCTGAGTAGTCTAATCTGTTTTATCACAGGACCTGAAGTCCTTTCTGGATTTGTTATAATGATAATTAATATGTTAACAGTAATACGCTTCTTCTAAAAATAAATGAGAAGCTAATTAAAAACTTGACAGTTAATGTTTTACCAAGATTTTTGTATAGTTCCATACAGTCCAACTGCTTCCATAATTTATTGAAACACAAAACTTTTCAGATATATGGAGCTCCATGTCTGTATTGTGTGAGCCAATATAATTAGCTGAAGATCACTTTGTTTCCATATTTCAAAAATAATAATAGATCTCATCAAGGGAATTGCAATTGTAATAAGGCTTGTGCATGGTTGCCAGCAGTAGTAGGAGAAAAAAAAAGAGGCACAAAAACTTTGCAGATCATTATGACGTCCTATGAGCCTTCGTCCTTGTCAAAGAGCAAAGTTATGTAGAAAGACAGAAGTCAGAGAAGAAAAGATAGCATACTTCAGTTTAATGAAAACTTTCTCAGATTAATAGCAGGACATTTAGGTCAAATCTACTTTGACACCAGAACAATGTCAGGAAAAAATCTGTGAAGGGCTGCAAGTATTTTTTTCATTACACTAAAGTAAATGCTTATAGTGGGTTCAGTATGGCTTTGATCAAAGCCATTTACTTCACT